AGAACACAACATTGAATCTCTTTGCTTCAATACAATAATAGTGTTAGGTTTTGTCTAAACTACATGTATAATCATTGGTAGTATGTTAGGCCTCAGAGTTCTTCAATAACACATCCAAGAAGAAAGTAGAAATTCATACAAGTTGTAAACCATTGTCTCACCTGTACAGCCTCTTCACTTTACTGTGTCTTCAGTTCAAAAGGTTTGCTGAGCCCCCGATGTCAGGTCTGGTTAAGTTGTCAGGAGTTGCCCGTCATCTCTGGTTTCTCCCAGTCAGGACGTCAGGACAATCACATAACTACATAAAGATTTGCAAAAACATCTCTAAGAAATGCTGAGTGACCATGAAATGATAATGATAAAACTGCACAGTTTGCAGTGTTCGAAATACCCGTCTGCAGTCTGCAATTTGCAGATAGATTTTCAAGATTGCAGAAGAGAAAATCTTACAATCTGCAATTTTGCAGAAGGAAAAAATAGGCTCCGGATTCAATAGTTTTCAATTAGCAAAGCAGTGGCGCTGTGAATAGATCGAAAACCTGCGCCGCACGAACCTGCCGGCGTTTTCCAGCAGACTGTAATGGTCCCATATAAGGGAATTTGGGGTCAAAGTTGAACGATTTCGACAAGGTGACGAAAGGCGACGATAACCAAATATGGGCACTCGCCATTTTCCGATGTTAGATTTCGTCTCCCGGGAGGACCCGACAACTGCCTCGGCAATTTTCGGCAGTTTTCGCTGAGCATTTCCCAGCAGGCAACACGGCAAAGGAAACATGGCTCCTCCGAAAAACCACACTCGCCTCGGCGTTAATTTGCCGAAATTTCGATGTTTTTCCTTGGTATTTTGAACGATTCAAGCAAAGAAAACAAGTTGATCACATGAACAAAAGAGAAATACAGCACTGGGAACCTAATGGTCCGTTTTGTTGGGCGGTAATTTCTCATTTCGAGTGAAAATTTACGTGCATCACATTGTGACCATGTGGTGTAAAATCAGCGATTTTCGGCTCGATCCGAACCAAGCACGGCCCGTAGACTTGTCCTTTATGATTTCTAGATGACTATTGGTACCAAAATACGGGAAAATATTGCTGCAAAATGAGAGAGACGGAGACTAAGGTAAACTTCTTTTATTTGAAGGCTGGATTTTCATTTTCCTGGCAGGCTTCTTTGTATGTAGTGATCATCAGTTATTCAGTAACAACAAATATGGATTTTTGTTCCGGTCAAAAAAACCGGTCCACCGACGTTTCGGTTTTTTTGGACCGGACCGATAAAATTTTACGGTCCGAACATATTTAAAAGAGTGATATTTTGAAGAATTTCAGTAATGCTACAGATTTACAAAGCTATACCGTTATATATGTAAAAATAGGCATTATTGGTTTCAGAAGGTTGTAATATGGGGGCTTGTGTATTTGCAGAAAGTATTTCAAAATTGCAGGACGAAATTTTGACTCTTCTGCAATATTGCAGAGCACTGAAAAAAAGTATTTCGACCACTGGTTTGTGTTATTTTGTTATTTAAAATCTATAAATTTAATCAAGACCTAAAGGAAAATCTTAAGAGTGTTAAAGAGAAATGAATCTTAAGAAGCATATCCTCACCTGTGAATGCTGCTATCTGATGCCCTGGTGTCTCCAAATCACCTGTTTTCCTCCTAGCCAGTCTTGTCAGGTTCAGAAAGTTCTCACTACTTCACCAGTTACCTATCAATATAAAACACCAGGTATTAAATGCTTATCGTTAAGTAAATAATAGATGAAATGCAGAATTAAGATTTTCCTTTCCTACTATTCATCTTGTGCCTTCAAGTCTACAGGTCTGGTCCAATCTTGTCGTGTTTAGAGGGAAGTCACCACTGCTACATCAGTCAGCAGCCACCTAACTACACAATTATATAAGTTACACCTTTGTTTATAAAAAAGTATATGATAGGTAAAATGCAGGATTCAAATTGTTCTTACCTGACATTCATCTGGGGTCTTCAAATCTCCAGGTCTGTCCTGGTCCAGTTTTTTTTTCTTGCCAGGTTTAGACAGGAGTCACCACTACTGAATCAGTTAGCAGCCACCTGTAGTAAATATACAATATTATAAGATACATGCTTGTCTCAAACTACACCAGATAAACGATAAGTAACGTGCAGGATTCAGATTGTTCTCACCTGATATTCTTCTGGGGTCTTCAAATCTCCAGGTCTGATCCAATCTTCTCTTGTCAGGTTCAGACAGGAGTCATCACTACTGCATCAGTCAGCAGCCACCTAACTAGTATACAACAACATAAGTTACACATTTGTCTCAAATAACACCAAAGGAATAGTAGGTAAAATACAAAATTCATATTTTTCTCACCTGATATTCTTCTGTGGTCTTCAAATCTCCATGTCTGGTCTGGTCTGGTCTGGTCTGGTCCAATCTTCTCTTGTCAGATTAAGACAGGAGTCACCACTACTGCATCAGTCAGCAGCCACCTAACTATACAGACATTACCGGTAGAAGTTACACATTTGTTTCAAATAGCACAAAGTGTAGCTCATGGGTAAAATGCTGAATTCAGTATTATCTCACCTGATACTCCTGGATCCGATCACCTGGTGCCTCTGTCATCACAAGTCTCATCCCATCAGGACAGGAACACCTACACAGTTGGCAGACCCTCAGGACACAGATCTAGATAACTACATGGTGCGTGTAAGAAAGAATTAATTACAAAAACTGTTATCAGCCCTGAACAAATAAAAAAACAAGCTATCTGATTCTTCAAACATGATCCAATGCAATTTTATGGTGGCAAAACAAAACAAAATATTCTGGGATGAGGAAATTTGTTTGATATTGACCTTTACTGCCATTTCTTACTTAATTTTTCAGAAGCACATTTCATTTATCATTTCATACTTGAAGCATTTGAAATAACTTAAAAACATAAGCTACTTGAGGAGTCTCATTTTTAGGTACAGATCTCACCTCTTCTTTTTGCTATAGTATAGGATAGGATTTATTAACTTACTACTTTAGACAGAAGAGTGACCAGAAAATTTACTTTGAAACTCCAGTTTTGCCGCCCGGATATTAACAAGATATATGGCCATATATAACTTGAATCTTTGAGGATCCAGCATTAAGTTGGTTTTAAGGATTTAATCATGCACACGTAGCTACATAGCCTCCTTCACAGACTTGTGGGGCGGCGGCGTTAATTTTTGTAGGGAGCGACGCGACGCGAGTTTTGCCGCCGAGGGACGGTTTTCCGCCGAGGGAGTTTGTCGGGGAGAGAAGCTTGGCGGTGAAAACTTCTCTCTCCGACAAATTCCCTCGGCGCAAAACCGTCCCTTAATTTGCGTCGCTCCCCGAAAAAAGATTAACGCCCACCCCAGAAGTCTGCGAAGGAGGC